GTAAGGCGAACGCCCTACCCGCTGTGCTATCAAATGTAAGGTTTTAAAAAAATCTTTGCTCATCCCATCGAAAAAATGGGTAGACATGCTGAAGGTAACTATCCACATGCTCGGATGAGCTCCACTCATGAAGAAACTGGCAGGGGAATCCAGGTATGCAGGACCCATGACTGAAATCTCCAAGCCCGCTTGGATTGGGACTGGGCCTCCTCTACCCAGCTCCCCAGTTTTCCAGTAATCTGGCAGTCACATCCACAAACTACCCCCGATGCCAAGTAATCTCATCAATGGCCATGATCCAAGAGACTATAAAATAAAGCTCCCAGAAGAGAACGATATAGTTCCTGGAGTACAAGATCGCATTTGGGGCCACGAGACCTCTTATTTCCTAGCCCACTGATTTACCTAAAGTAGCACACATGTGTTTGGTTTTTAACAAACTTGCTTGTATTCTCTTATATATGTGCTTAAATGGCCCCAGAATGAAATACGACACCTTCACGAACTTCTCTCTTATTATTGTGGGGGAAGATGCTCACTGGTTGGGTGGGTGTTTGAATATTATTTGTAATGAACTATTGTGAACTACTTTATGAAAATAAAATGTATAAAATCGTAAAAAATGGGTAGAGGAGATGAGCACTTTTTAAAAGAAGACACATCAAACACCTCCCCTGCTCCTGCCCCCTTATATAAAACCCCGTAAGAAAAAGACATACAGAAGAGCCATTTGCACTGGCTTTTACTGTGGTCCATGCCCAGCATGGTGTATGATTCCCTGTGCACTACCAGGAGTGATCCTTTAAGCACAGAACCAGAAGTGAGTTTTGAGCAAAGCCCATTGTGTCCCACCACCACTCCCCAAAAGAGAATACATATTGGATGGCCAGCAGGAGTATAAAAAAGTGTTCATCATTATATGTTTTTAGGAAAATGTAAATCAAAAGTACAGGGAGATGTCCCCTATCATTACTGAGAATGTGAGAAAAAAGAAGGGCTGGAGACCATCAGTGTTGTCCTATCTGTGGTGAAGGGGAACCCTCTTCCACTGTTGGTGGGAATGCTGTCTGCCTCAGCCTTATAGAAAACAGTAAGGAGACTTTTCAAAATGAAAGAATAGAAAACCCATCTGATACAGCCATCGTCTTACTTGGCATCTGCTCCAAGAACCCCAAAATATTAATTCAACAAAACATATGCACAGCTATATTCACCACAGTAATAATCAAGACATGGTAGTAACCCAAATGTCCAACTAAAAAATAGTGGATAAAGATGTTGTGCTAAGTATACATAGTGGAATATTACACACTGTGAGAAAAGATGAAATCCTGCAGTTCACTGCTAGTTGGATGAAGCTGTGAGATTAAGCAAAATAAATTGGAGGGTGATGAATGAATACTGGAGCTTCTCAGTCTTCTAAGGTATACAGAGAAACAAAACAGTGAATAATGACAAATCCTTGGCCCTGAGCACAGCTAGGTATGCCTCTGTATCCCTGTAAGACCCAACCCCACAAAAAAATTAAGAGTGCAATAGAGTAGTGCAGAGTCTTTGGGAACTACTACAACTGTTCTAACAGAATTACAATGGTAGTTTTACCACTACTACTATTGTTATAGCAGAACTACAATTGTGAATAGTACTCTAACCATAATGCCTAAATTGCAAACAAAAATAAAAGTTGATTTGTCTCATCTGTATGTTACCTTCCTTACTTTTTTTTTTTTTTTGCTTTTTTGGGTCACACCTGGCAATGCACATGGGTTGCTCCTGGCTCTGCACTCAGGAATTACCTCTGGCGGTGCCCAGGGGACCATCCCTGGAGACTATCCCAGGGGACCATATGGGATGCTGGGAATTGAACCCGGGTTGGCCACATGCAAGACAAATGCCTTACCCACTGTGCTATTGCTCTAGCCCCCACTACCTTACTTTTGTCAATCAATAGTTATGCCTGTTACCCCACTATTACTCAGTATGGAAGTGGTATTTCACTTTTTCACCTCTGTTCTGAACCTCATACCATCCAACTACCATCTAAGTATATTTTTATAATAAAATTTTTTTGGGGGATATAGTGATAGCACAGAGCATGGGGCACTTGCCTTGCCATAGTTAACCAGGTTTTGATCCTTGTCTCCTCAAATGATCCATTGAACCCCGCCAGGAGTGATCCCTTAGTTAAGAGCCAGGAGTAAATCCTGGGTATGGACCATCCCTTCTCCCTCCACCTCCAATAAAGAAGCAACAAAGAATATTTGAAACAAATGTTTACTCTTTATTTCTACCATGCTTTCCCAAAGAGAAAAATATTAGGCTTTACTATTTTCAAACAGTTAAAAAATTATTCATTCATATTTCTACTTTGGACAAACTGGCAGGCTACCGAATGTAGCCTGCCCACACTGCAGAGTCTGGCAAACTCCCCGTGGCGTTCCCAATATGCCAAATACCAGTAACAATGATGGGTCTCATTCTCCTAAAGAGCCTTGAATATAATCTCAGGGCTAGGATGAAGGAGACTTTACTGGGGCCTGCTCAAGGCAATCGACGATTAACAGGATGATTTGTGATTTGTGATTGATTTCATCACTGTGCTACTGGAGTGATAGCACAGCGGTAGGGCGTTTGCCTTGCACGCAGCCAACATGGCCGACCCGAGTTCGATTCCTCCGCCCCTCTCGGACAGCCCGGCAAGCTACCGAGAGTATCTCGCCTGCACAGCAGAGCCTGGCAAGCTACCCGTGATGTTTTCGATATGCCAGACACAGTAACAACAAAGTCTCCAATGGAGATGTTACTGGGCCCGCTCGAGCAAATCGATGAACAACGGGAGGACAGTGACAGTGACAGTGACAGATTTCATATTGTTTCATGCCTTGCCTCATTGTCTCCAGAGGGACCAATCTTTAATGGTAAAGCCAAACTCAGATTGGTCTTAGTGAAGCTGCAAACTGGGAAAATCACTTGTTGAATAATAAGAGGGAACATGCATGGAACCTTGAAGTTGTGTCTTTGTCTACATTTCCATGAGTATGTGAGTCTGGTAATCTGGCATGTTCAATCTATAGTGGATTCCGCCCCCCCCCGATTTTTTTTCTTTTTGGGTCACACCCAACAACACACAGGGGTTACTCCTGGCTCTGCATTCAGGAATTACTCCTGGTGGTGCTCAGGGGACCATATGGGATGCTGGGAATTGAACCCGGGCTGGCCACATGCAAGGTGAACGCCCTACCTGCTGTGCTATTGCTCCAGCCTCTCCCCCCTGCTTTTTGGGTGACATCTGGCGATGCTCAGGGTTACTGCTGGCTCTGCACTCAGAAATAACTCCTTATGGTGCTTGGGGGACCCCATGGGATGCCAGGGATGGATCCCAGGTAGACTGTGTGCAAGGCAAACACCCTTCCTGCTGTACTAAAGCTCCAGCCCCTACATTGAATTCCCTATAGGCACTTTAGCCTGATAGGAATCCAGCAGGATTTCTTTAAGGTTAACCTTTAATGTTCTCTATAGGGTAGGAGCTCAGTGGAGTTTAACGAAGTCAAGAAAGATCACTGAGTGTGTGATAAGCTAAAGATACTGCCAGGGCACTGCTTACGTGGGTTTTCTAGACCATAGCTGCAGTTTGGCAGCGGCAGGCCCATTAATGTAATAACAAATTTGCTGATTGTGGAAAAACAATAAGTCTGAAACTTGAAGTCTTATTTCTAGACTTAACATAAGACCCCGAGTAAGTGAGACGTCATTTATTTTCTGCTTGAAAAGTACATTTAGATGCTTCTTTTGTCGAAATAATGAATGTAATCAATGTAGAGAAGAGTTAAGTAGAAATCATCTGCCTTACAGGCATTTGGAGGGGTGGGAGGGGGGTATACTGGGGTTCTTGGCGGTGAAAAATAAGTACTGGTGAAGGGAAAGGTGTTTGATCATTGTATGACCGAGACTTAAACCTGAAAGCTTAGTAACTTTTCCCACAGTGATTCAATAAATAAACATAAAAAGAAATAAAATAAAATAAAAAAAATGTACATTTAGATGCTTAATGTTTGTCCTCTTGCATACACCATTTTGGTCTTTGAGCGGAAGTACAGTTGTCAGGTTACTTTTGTACCCCTGTTTTATTCATGGTTATCAGAAAACTGGGTTAGGGCTGGAGCGACCAACTAACCTGGGTTTTATCCTTGGCATCCTGTAGGCTGGAGTGAAAGTACAGTGGGTAGGGTGTTTGCCTTGCAAGAAGTCCACCTGGGTTTGATCCCTGGCATCCCTTATGGTCCCCCAAGCACCACCAGGAGTGATTCCTGAGTTCAGAGCCTGGAGTGGCCCCAGAGCAACACTCGGTGTGATACAAACAGTAAAAACAACAACAAACACCACCCCCTCCCCTACACAGAAAACTGGGTTGTCAGTGACCCCTTCACTTAAATGAGAAAATAAATTGCATCTAGTAGAGTTGTTTATTGACAATATATTTGAGTATAAGTCTGAAGCCTGGGGAAAATAATGAAAGCAGTTGTTTATAATGAAGAAGTTGGGGTTGTTACTCTTATTCATTTTAGAACACAGCGGTAGGGCGTTTGGGTCACATAATGCACGCAGCCGACCTGACCTACTGGGATTCAATTCCTCTGCCCCTCTTGGAGAGCCCCGCAAGCTACTGAGAGTATCTTGCCCGCACTGCAAAGCCTGACAAGCTACCCATGACGTATTCGATATGCCAAACACAGTAACAACAAGTCTCACAATGGAGACATTACTGTGCCCGCTTGAGCAAACCAACGAACAACCGGAGGACAGTGACAGTGGCAATTCATTTTAGAAGAAGGCCCTAGATTTTTTTTTTTTTTGCTTTTTGGCTCATACCTGGCTATGCACAGGGGTTATTCCTAGCTCATGCCCTCAGGAATCACTCCTGCAGGGCTCAGGCAAACATAGGAGATGCTGGGAATAGAACTGGGTCAGTCTTGTGCAAGGCAAATGCTCTTCCTTCTGTGCTATCGCTCCAGGCCCAAGAAGGCACTACTTTTAAGTTTTCTCATGGCTGTCTTCATCTCCTGATTCCTCAGAGTATAGATCAAGGGATTTAGAAGAGGGGAGATGACAGTGAAGGTGACAGTGATGACCTTATCAGAGGGGAGGGCAGTGAAGGGCCGGGCATAGACATAGATGCAGGGTACAAAGTGCAGAGTCACTACAATAATGTGGGAGGTGCAGGTGGAGAGGGCTTTCTTTCTGCCTTCCCCTGCCTGAGACCTCAGCAACATGAGGATGAACATATAAGACACTAGCAGGAAGACAAACCACAGGACAACAATCAAGCCATTGTTGGAAATCATTAAGATCTCAAGAGCAAAGGTATTAGTGCAGGCAAGTTTCAGGATCTGGGGGACATCGCAGTAGAAACCGTCCACAACATTGGGTCCACAGAAGGGGAGGGGGACTAACAGGGAAATCTGCACAATGGAATGGACAAAGCCCCCCACCCAGGAGGCCGCAATGAGGGCGAAACATCGCTCCCTGCTCATGATGGTCACATAATGCAAGGGCTTGGAGATGGCCATGTAGCGATCAAGGGCCATCACAGAGAGAGAGAAAATATCTGCCCCACCAAGGAGATGGAAGAAGAATATCTGTGTCATGCAGTTTGCGTAGGAGATGGTCTTTCTCTTTGACAGGAGGTCCACCAAGACCTTGGGAGCAGTGATGGAGGAGAAGCAGATGTCAAGGATGGCGAGATTGCGGAGCAGGAAGTACATGGGGGTGTGAAGGCGAGACTCACAGGTGACGGTGACCAGGATGAGGAGGTTTCCCAGCAGAGTTGTCATGTATACAAGAGCCAGAAAAAGAAACAAGATCAAGCTCAGATCTTGGGACTGGGTAATTCCCAGAAATATAAATTCTTTTACTCTGGTGCCATTTCCCAACTCCATTGAGTCATTTTTCCTCTTCCTTGTGGAGCTTGGAAAGAAATCAAGTGCTGTTTCAGAGAGCATTTATCACAGTTTCAGGCTCATAGAGTCAGGTATTAGGCAATAGCGAGGCATTATTTCAGGTGTTCTGAGATTAATGCTCTATGGGTCCCAAATGACTTCTTACTGCATAACCACACCCTTATTCTTTCATTCTGAATAATAACTAGGATAGGAAATGCAGGAAAGTAATCTTTCAACTATCTAAAGTGTATTTACTAAGGTGGCGAGGCACATGTTAAGTGTTCAGAAGTGAACTATTGCTGAGTCAGCCCAGGGTGTGCTTCATTGCTGTGACTGGTGTCCTTTGAGCTGTGTGAAGCGTTTTCTCTTAAGGATGGGACCATTGAAATAAATTAAGAATTCTCACCTGCAGAAAGGTTCTGAACTGAATTGTAGCACCAGTGCACATTTCCCACTACCAGTGTTCTCAGTTTCCCACCTGCCACTCTCTTCACCAGTTCCCTACATCTCTCCCCCATCCTGCCTCTATGGCAGGTACCTCTCTGTCTCTGACTCTGTCTCTGTCTCTGTCTCTGTCTCTCTCTGTCTCTCTTCTGGGCATTGTGGTTTGCATTAACAGTACTGGTTGTTATCATGTTTGTCCCTTTACCTACTTTCATTACTCAGTTCTTGTCCAGAGTGATCATTTTCAACTATCATTGTCTTTCAAATTTTGAATCACTAAGTAAAATTGTAATAAAATTATGATTTATAGTAATCACAAAACAACCCTATAACAACACAGAAAAATAGAACCAGTTTTTGTTTTGTCTTGATTTTGTTTTGGGCCACGCCAGACAGTGTTCAGGGGTGTGTGCTTGTGTGTATGTGTGTGTGTGTGTGTGTGTTTGTAAGTATGTGTAAATCCTAAGTAAATGTAGGTAGGAGTTCAGGCTCCTCCGTCCTCCCCAACAGGTTATTCCTTTTGCTGACTTGGAATACTGGGAGATTAACTTGGTCTAAGGGTCTTCCTTAGTTTCAAGATACAGTAAAGTGGTTTTTCTGCAGTGAATTTTTCTGTTCCAATTTTAAAATAATTCATTGTACCAGATTTTCAAATCGTAATCTGTGAAAGTTGTTGAGAGGCATTATAATAATCTGTGTACATAATAACCTATACATAATAGCCTATGGTGAAAATATGTTGCTTTTGTTAAATCTTAGTCACATTATGTGTGTTGTACATGGGTTTTTTTTGTTTGTTTGTTTTTGCTTCACACCCAGCAATGCACAGGGGCTACTCCTGGCTCATGCACTCAGGAATTACTCCTGGCGGTGCTTGGGGGACCATATGGGATGTTGGGAATCAAACCCGGGTTGGCCGCATGCAAGGCAAACACCTTACCCGCTGTGCTATCGCTCCAGCCCGTGTTGTACAAGTCTTTCAACTTTTTTAGCTATTAAATGTTTTATTTTTCTCGTAACTTCACATTTGTCATAAGAAACACTCACATAGCCTATTCTGAGGAGATCCATTTAGAGGAAATAAATTGGTGAATTCTCTCTTCTTATGAAAATCTAAAATAAAAGGCTGCATTCTGCCCAATACAAAACTAACTCATGTCTGTTTCCTGTATTCTTTGTTCCTATTTATTATCTGTATTATCACTGAAACCTCAGTCTCAAATAAGCATCTGTGCACATAATAAATTTGATTTATGATATTTTTGAACGTGAGCCCACATCTTTATCAATCTTTCATACACTTAATTTTCTGAGTCCTATGACAGACACCAGACACCACAGTCCCACACTCATGCAGAATTACAATTCTTACTTAAAATCTCCACCTTTCAAGGACTCGAACATTTTAAATAATGTTCCTATCAATAGGACACTCCTGTAGCTTACAAATATTCTGAAAAACACTCTTTTGAAGGTCATTGATTTCATTACCTTGTCTTCTCTTTTAAGGTGAAGAAGACAAACTCAAGAACTGTCTTCTCAATATTCCATGCTGATTCACAATGACCCTTCCTATTTAAAAATACCTTAATCTCAGAACTAGCACGAGAATTACCAGAGGGATATAGATAGATATGTTTGTGGAAACACTGCTGGTGGCGAGTGTTTCAGTGGGAGTAATTAAGAAATTATTCAGGCACATATGATCAGGAACACGCCCTTCCTAGCATTCTCATTGAGTAAGCTCTAGTCAGGATCTTCTGAACTTTTCAAGTAGTTTTTGACTTTTGGACTTCTGTGTTTATGCATTGTCTAATTTTAGCAAAGTTAGTTCTGTCAGGTGAGCCAGAACTCCCCAACAGTTATATCTGTTGACATGTCCATATCCAATCAAACTACTCATCCTCTGCTGTCCTCCAGATGATAGCAGGTCATACTTGCTTGTCTTTATTATTATTATTGAAAAGTTAAAGGGAAAGAAACTCTCCAGTTGACAGAAACAGTTTAGGACTAAGTTAAAAGTGAAGGTCTTTTGTGTAGTTATTTATTTTTTAAATTTTTAAAATGTTTTTGCTTTTTTGGGTCACACCCAGCGCTGCACAGGAATTACTTCTGGCTCTGCACTCAGTAATTATTCCTGGCGGTGCTCAGGGACTCATGTGAGATGGCTGGGATTGAACCTGAGTCAGTAGCGTGCAAGACAAGAAATAGTAAATATGTTGATTTTAATCGTGGTCCTATGTCTTTACTTGTCAAATTTTAAAATGATATCATTCACTATAGAAGAACTATAAATGAAAAAAGACAGAATTTACATCATACTGCATGTTCTCAATGACTAACCCCAAATAAACAAATCAATATTTTCTTGCTATAGAAATCACAGGATGAAGTAATTGGGCATTGGATTTCAGATGTAAATAAGTAACATCTTTACTAAAAGCCAATTCTGTGAATTGTTTTTATAGGCTTTTTTCCCTATTCCTCTGGGGATAGTTGCATACGTCAAATAGACCAGAGGTCAGGCTAAATCTCAGAAATATTTAGGTGACCTATTCTTAGTAGAGAGGTTTCTACCACATTAGGGTGAAAGTTGCAGAAAAAATAATTTTGGCTTTGCTTGGAAACCCAGAGACCACTCCTAGAGAAACTTGACTACACAGTACAGTGGATTGAATTCTGGCATGCATGGCAGGTGCCCAACTCTTCGCGTTACTCCTTTGGCCTCCTTTTGGACACTCTGTTTATGTCTCTGGTCCCAGGATTTGAACACAAGGCAGTGAATATGTGAAGGACTCACCCCGCAAGAGCCTGCTCTTCCGTTTAGTTCTTAGGCTTTCTTTTCTTTTTTGTTTTTTGGTGGGGGGTTTCGGGAGACTACTTGGGATGCTGGGAATTGAACCGGGGTCAGCCAGGCACAAGGCAAATGCCCTACCCTCTGTAATATCGCTCTGGCCCTCTTTTTAGACTTCCCCCTCCTTTTTTACAGTTACAAAGCTTTCATGTTTGAGCTTCGGTCCTACAATCATCAAACACCCATCCCTTCACCAGTGCACGTTTTCCACCACCAAAATGCCCAGTATTCCCTCCACCCACCCCTTTTCCAACTCGTTCCTTGCCTGTGTGGCAGACAATTTCCCCCATACTCTCTCTCTATTTTGGTTACATTCAAAATTTGACGCCAGTCTCACCACCACTCAAACCTGCTGAAAAGGCAATGCGAGATGATTTGTTTTGTATTGCTTGTTATGGATAGAATATAATGTCCAAGAAATTCTGTATTGTTCTCTTCTGGGAACTTTAGTTTATAGTCTATATAGTCTTTAGTTTATAGTCTCTGGGTCATTTCTACTATGGTTCATCCCCTCTTGGGTGAGGCTTGTCCGAGTGCGTGGAGAGTAGCTTTGCTCATGACTGTGGCTGGGTTCTGGAGGTTTTCGGCTGTCAGGGTTCTGCTTAGGGCAAGGAGGGAAACTCAACCCACCCCCCTCCAAGGTGCCCCAGTGAAGACAGCCTGGCACGGGGCCAAGGCATTCTGCAGCGCTCTCTTCTGGGAGCTTTAGTTTATAGTCTCTGGGTCTTAGCCATTGATGAGAGTACATGGCAGTGCCAGGGGAAGTTTGTGGGTATGACTGCCAAGATACAGGAAAACTGGGGATCTGGGTGGAGGAGGCCCAGTCCCAATCCAAGCAGGTTTGGAGGTCTCAGTCACGGGTTCCCTCATATATGGTTTTTCCTGCCGGTCTGCTATCTGGTGAGGTTCACCCCATCTTGGTGAGGCTTGTCCGAGCATGTGGAGAGTGGCCTTGAGCATGGAGGCAGTTGGGTTCTGGAGGTTTTTGGCTGCTGGGGTTCTGTTTGGATCAGGGAAGGAGACTCAATCGCCCCCTTCCAAGGCGCCTCAATGGAGACAGTCTGGTGCGGGGTCAGAACACTCAACGGTGCTCTCTTCCGGGAGCTTTAGTTTATAGTTTCTGGGTCTTGGCCTTTGATGAGATTACATGGCATTGAGGGTAGTTTGTGGGTGTGACTGCCAAGCTACTAGAAAATTGGGAATGTTGGGGAAGGAGGCCCAGTCCTGATCCAAGTGAACCTGGAGCTCTCGGTCAAGGATTCCTGCCTACCTCTGAGCTACAAGCCCTAACTGCATCTTTTGATCTCAATCGAGATTAATGGGTCTCTGAAATAAGGCCAATAAATAAGCTTATCTATCTGAGCTGGAGGTTTTTTGTGGGTGTGTCTCCCACATACCTAACTTTTGGCCATTTAATTTCTTGGTAAACTTGGCCCCAAGTTGTTGGGGTCTGGCCAAAGTAACAGCAGCAATTTGGGGGTATCTGAAAGTCTGAAGGCACCAGCAGGCTTCTGATGCACTCGTCCTACAGGTTTACTTGCTGGTGGCACCATACCCCCTCTTTTTAGACTTTCTTGCTGAGCTCTCTTGCGCTCTTGCTGAGGTCTTGCTGAGGACTCTGCACTTTAGCTGAGTACTCTTGCCGAGACCGTGCTTTCTGAGCACTCTTGGTTTTATGCACAAGGGCTGCAGAACTTTA